ACTGACAGATGGCTGTCTGAGTGAGTTGTTATATTTTGATTCGGTACAAAAAGGTAGAGTGAATATTGTTAAGGTCTAAATACCTTTTTGCTTCTAAAAAGTATTTATCAAGTCCTGAGTGCGTATATCAAAACTCCGATGGTGATTTTTGATGCTTTAAAAACTGATTCCGGTACATTTTAATGGTGTTCAAGTGTTAAGGATGTCTTGATTGATTGATTTTCATTTGTTTGATTTGACTTGGAAATCTGATCCGTTACAACGTATCAACGACAACACATTTATGCATACATGTTTTAAAGATGATTGAGACATGAAGTGAGTCGTTTCAGGATGACGAAACAAGCACATGATGATACGGCACGCTTCATATACATATTAACGAATGGCAAGCGAAGATATCTGGAATTCGAAGACTTCGAATCGATGATATTGGATCTAATTAATACACATCCATCACTGACTCATCTGCTGTCAGCAGTACAGTTCCATATGAGTTACGTTGAAGTGGTTCGTTTTGATTGCGTCTGCTTATTTTCATTTATTTGTTTCATTTTTGTTTGGTGAATGCACATTCGAGAGAGTTTAATTGCGTAATTGAATATTTCAAGGTGACATGTCGCATCTTTTGGATTGTTAATCGCTCGTGGTCTGGTCGAATCACCGCACAAGAATTACGTGGTTCGGATTTTTTAGAGGTAAATTATGATTGAGACACGGTGTTTTTTGCAGTGAATGTGCAGTGTTGAAGAATTAATTCGAGATATTACACACTTACACAGATAGTACATGTTTTGAGTTGAATTAAAGGTATTACGCAGTCTGGAGAGAATCGATGTGAATGATGCTGTGGACTACTTCACATATGATGCGTTTTTCGTGGTTCATAGTAAGTTTACAGACTTGAATGAGTTTGGTGGCTCAGAGACTGTAATAACACCTGATCAATTGGCACAATACAACGATGGAGGTGGGTGTTTTTGTTTGTTGAGAGGAGAAAGACATTATTTTCAATTTCTTTTGTTATATTTGGCATTCAGTTAGCTAATAGATGGTTTATGAGAAGGTAGTGATTTAATGAATGCAATTGATTTAAGCCTTACCCGATCTCGTCATATCAAGAATATTCTCAAGAGCAGTATGCAGCAGGAACGGTAGTGATGACGACAGCCGTTCTAAGCAGCAGCAAGCGCCACTACGAC